AGTTTAGCCATAGATTTAAACTAAGAAGTACAGGCGGTAGCAGAGCGTGATATTTTATGCGAGCGTTTTCCGCTGATACTATTGGTAACACTGGTTTGATTCATTCGTTTCTTTCATCTATACTTCATATTTCTTGATTATTAATTGGTATTGAACTAAATCACATATCTTTAAAACCACAAATCAAATTTAATTGTTACTCGAATTTTCGAGGTAAACAACATAAAATATCTAATTTTGTAGAGAGACCATCGGTTCACGTGCCCCGTAATTTCCCACTAATTTGCCCTGCTCACCTCATAAACTAGCTTTTGGGGTTAAGTTAGGCCCAAGATCCATTTATCAGTCTTTAAAAGAAATTTGATCACACTTATTTAGTGGGTTCTGAATTAGACATAAGATGGTGGTATGTGTACCCAATTTACTTCATGTTGGCTAGGAATGACTAAAATGAGATTCTTGATGCCTTTGACTAGATACCAGCTTTTTAAGCACGCTGTCATATTTTTTGCGGACAGAGTAGTCCTGCGTGTATTCGCTTGTTCTAAATGGATTGATCTTTTTTTTGGTTTCCTACTCGGTGTATGATATTCATATTGGGGCCCGACTAAATCTGGATTGGCGCCAAAAAGTCCTACATTGGGGGATTGATCTTATTAATTAAAGGTTGGTCGGTCTCATGTAAAATTAACCAAAGCATTTTACTTCATATTAAATGTACGTAATAGTCTTTGTATAAAGATACTCATGACATTCTACGTTAATTTACATTACATCGTAACCATCTTAGAATTGAGTCACTAACTTATGGGGCATGTAATAGGTTTAATCATATTTATCATATTTAAGAAACCTGTAAAGAAAGTAGTTAGTGGTTAGTGGAGTGGTTAGCCAGTTGTCCAACAGTGTAATGACAGATGTAAGTTAAGTTAGTTAGGAGTAGTATATAACCGTGTATATCTCTAATTTGTACAGTATCTGAAAATGAATGGAACCATACGATTTCCATTTCTCTCTTAGCTTCTTCTGAGAAATCCTCTGCAGTCATGGAGGTTCTCTCCATTTAACATGGTATCAGATCCAGGCCCATCCCAATTTATTGTTACTGATGTTGGGGCCCCATTTATATTGTTCACGCTCCAGTTGCAGGCCTGGGCGTGAGGGGGGTGTTGAGTTGTGTCCCACATTGGTGGATTATGGGTATCTTGGTCTCCTTATATGATCTTGGGTGATCCTCACCTCATAAGCTAGCTTTTGGGGTTGAGTTAGGCCCAAGGTCCATTCTTATCATGGTATCAGAGCCGTGAAGATGATTGATTCACGCGGACTGCTGGAATTTGATTTGAGCTTCTAAAACTCATCAGAAATTTGTGTAATTACTTCAGTTCATTCCTTTCTAGGTTGAATCATCTTTGAGCAATTAGGTATTCTCTCTTCATCTTTGTGCAAAATTGCTTGCTGCTTCTCTAAGCTCTATTTCTCTTCATCCTTCAATGGCGATCGGAGGTATTAGTGCTAGCTCAGACACAGGAGTTGAAGACATTGCTGCTAATGCAACTCCAGTGGCAGATCCAAGTCGTGTGGGTGGTGTAGTGATCGATAAACATCATCCTCTATTTTTTCAGCCTTCTAATACTCCAGGTAGTTCTCTCGTCTCAATCAAACTAATTGGACATGAGAACTATGCTATGTGGAGAAGCTCTATGCGTATCAATCTATTAGGCAAGAGTAAATTAGGTTTTGTTGATGGTAGATACACTAAGGACAAATTTCCTCCTACTTTACATGACTTGTGGGAAAAATATAATGCCATAGTTTTGTCATGGATCATGAACTCGGTTAGCAATGAGCTGCTAAGTGGCATGGTGTATGCAACTAGTACACAGAAAGTGTTGGCTGATCTTAGAGAGAGCTTTGACAAGGTTAATGGATCTAGAATTCTATTTTTGCATAGACAAATTGCTACCTTGTCTTAGGGCATCTCCTCTGTGTCAGTATACTTTGCTAAGCTGAAAGAACTTTGGGCAGAGTTTGATGCATTGATGCCTTGCCCAGGATGTGGTTGTGAGGAGTCGAAGAGGTATGCAGAACATTTTGGGAACCACAGGTTGCTGCAATTTCTGATGGGTTTAAATGAGACGTACTCACAATCCAGTAACCAGATTATGGTGATGAGTCCTACTCTAACTATAAACAAAGCCTATTCTATGATAATAGCAGAAGAAAGTAGAAGATCTGTAGTTAATTTTGCTCAAACCTCTGCAGCAAATGAAGGAATGGCTATGTTTAGTGGAAAAGGGAACGTTCAAGGTTCAAGCAACTACAAGCCTAAAAGGAATAATTTTTTCTATGAGTACTGCAAATACAAAAGGTCACACAAGGGACGCTTGCTACAAGCTTCATGGCTATCCTGCAGAATTTAAGCAAAAAAGAAAGGCTGGAACTAACAATGCTACTCAATACACAGGTCCTCCAACCAATAATGGTCCTAAAAGTGGAAACTTTGAGGATGCAGCTAACCTTTCAGGACTTCAGCAGAATAATCCTGATTTAACTAGTCAGGGTGGTCAAGGAGTGATTGTAGTAGTGCCTCAATTTACAGTTGATCACTACAATCAGATCTTGCATCTCTTGGGCAAGTCCAGCATCACATCTTCAAATCAAAGTGATCCACCAAGTAATGCTATGTCAGCAGGTATGACTTTATGTTTTGTAGCTACTAAAGCTGAGGTTTGGTGGATAGTTGATATAGGTGCTTCCAATCACAAAGTAAAAGTTTCAAAGTTTTAGAGGAATCTAAAAATGTTGATGAAACTAGTATTGGAAAAGTTCATTTACCTACAGGAAAGATAGCAAGTATAAAACATACAGGCTCTACGAGTGTGCTACAAGGACAGAAAACTACAAATGTGTTGCACATACCAGACTTCAAATATAACCTTCTGTCTGTTTCAAAATTAACAAAGGAACTTAGATTCTGGAAGATCCTTTGTAAATACAATAAAGGATGATAGTTCAAGTGTATCTCCGTGGCATAGGAGATTAGGTCATGTGCAATTGATGTTTGGAGAAAGTTAAAAGGTTTTCAACATTTGAAATGTAATTCTGAGACTAAGCAATGTAATATCTGTCCTATTGCTAAGCAAACAAGGCTTCCATTTCCTCTTAGCACCCCTGTGGCTACTACATGTATTCACTTACTTCCTGCTGATGTTTGGGGGCCCTATAGGGTACCTACTCATGATGGGAAGAAATATTTTCTCACACTAGTATATGATCATTCCAGGTTTACATGGATTTTCTTGTTGCCCTCTAAAGCTGAAGTGATTGTTGCCATTAGACAGTTTTTTATTATGATCAAGAATGTTCATTCCTGTACTGTAAAATTCTTAAGAATAGATAATGGGTGTGAGTTTGTTAACTCTCAATGACAGAATTACTGCAGTCTTTGGGGATTGTTCATCAGAGTTCCTGTGTCTATACTCCACAGCAAAATGGAGTAGCTGAGAGGAAACACAAACACATACTCAATGTGGCTAGGGCACTGAGGTTTCAAGCAAGTGTTCCGCTAAGATTCTGGGGGGAATGTGCATTAACTGCAGTCTACATGATAAATAGACTACCAACACAGGTACTGCAGGGTAGATCTCCATTTGAACTACTATTTGGTCATTCACCTTCTTTAGACCATATGAAACTTTTTGGCTGTCTAGGTTATGTAACTGATGTTAAAAGAGGTGACAAATTCTCAGCTAGAGCCTCTCCTGCAGTTTGACTTGGCTATTCTATGTCTCAAAAGGGATACAAAATGTAGAACATTCATACCAAGGAGTTCTTAATAAGTAGAGATGTTATATTCAAAGAAAATGTTTTTCCCTTCCAACAGTCAGCTCGTCTACCCTCCTTGTTCCCTACCATTGACATTCCTCAAGTCTTATTGCCTAATGTTATCTCTATATCCTCCCTTCCACCATCGTTAATCTCTTCATCTCCTCCTACACCTTCTTTTCTATCTTCTCCTATTCCCACTTCACCTACTTATCATAGCTTAGATCAACTAACTCAAGTACCTACTGATCCTGAACCAGTATCACCACCTGGTCTCACTCATGATCAGCCCATTCCTCAGTTGTCTACCTCAAATAGTCAATTGATAGAAGCCTCACATCCTACAAGATCTAGGAGAATCAGTAAACCCCCTATCTGGCTAAAAGATTATGTTATCCTTTCTCCAGGCAAAGCAAATTGTTCTTATCCTCTTTTAGCATGTGTTAGTTATGAGAATATCTCTGACTCCTATGCCAAAGCTCTATCCTCCTACTCTGCAGTTCTAGAACCACAATCATATATTGAGGCTGTCAAGGATCCTAAATGGATTGAGGTTATGAAAGCTAAAATCTCAGCCTTAGAGGAAAATCACACATGGTCTATAGTGGAGTTACCTGCTGGAAAGGTTCCAATTGGCTGTAAATGGGTGTTCAAAGCGAAGTACACATCATCAGGTGAAGTTGAGAGATACAAATCTAGGTTGGTTGCTAAAGGTTACAGTCAAAAGGAAGGGCTTGACTATACCGAAACTTTCTCTCCTGTAGCAAAGATGGTGACTGTAAGATTAGTCATTGCAGTTGCTGCAGCCAAACATTGGCCTCTTTTCCAAAGGGATGTTCACAATGCCTTCTTGGATGGTGAACTCCTAGAAAAGGTTTACATGGATGTGCCACAAAGGTTTGCAAGCCAGGGAAGGTCCTCTCACAGGGTTTGCAAACTTCATAGATCTCTATATGGCTTGAAACAAGCACCCAGGCAGTGGAACAGGAAGCTAACCGATGCCTTAGTACAGTTGGGCTTCACTCAAAGTCATTTTGACTTTTCTCTTTTCACAAAGAAGGTTCAAGCTGAAATTGGTTGTGGTGTTAGTTTATGAAGATGACTTGATAACAAGTGGAATCAATCTAGGTCTGATAACTCAGACTAGAAATGATCTGAAGCTCAGGTTCAAAATGAAGGATCTAGGAGAACTTAAGTTTTTTCTGGGAATAGAAGTTGCAAGATCAAAAGATGGAATCATTATGAGCCAAAGGAAGTATGCTTTGGAGTTGATATCTGAAATGGGACTTGCAGGTGCTAAACCTGCAGGAACACCTCTTGAGTCCAATTTGAAGCTTACATCTGTGGAGTATGACACTGCTGTAGGAACCTCTAAGTGTGAAGATAAGCTGATTGAAGATATAGGTGCATACCAAACACTAGTAGGGAGGCTATTATATCTTACAATGACCAGGATTGACATAGCATTTGCAGTACAGACATTAAGTCAGTATATGCACAAGCCAAAGCAATCTCACTGGGAAGCTGCTCTGAGAGTTGTGAAGTATGTTAAGACTTCTCCAGGTCTTGGCCTACTAATGCCTTCAGAAGGCACAGACAAACTAAGAGCATATTGTGACTCAGACTGGGGTGGATGCTTACAGACTAGGAAATCAATAACAGGGTACCTAGTTAAGTTTGGGAATGCCTTGATCTCGTGGAAGTCTAAGAAACAAGATACAGTTGCAAGAAGCTCTGCTGAAGCTGAATTCAGAAGTATCGCATCCACAGTTGCTGAAATAACCTGGCTCATAAGACTCTTCAATGAGCTGGAGGTTGATGTAAGTCTACCAGTTGATCTCTTTTGTGACAGCAAAGCTGCAATCCAAATTGCAGCTTATCCTATCTTTCACGAGGGACTAAACACATAGACATTGACTGCCACTTTGTACGAGAGAATATCATACAAGGTGCAGTGAAAACTCATCATATTCCCACAAAAGAGCAGCAAGCTGATCTCCTTACCAAGAGTTCAGGAAGGTTGCAACATGATCACCTAGTGTCCAAGCTGGGCTTGAAGGATATCTTCAAACCATCAGTTTGAGGGAGGGTGTTAAGAAAGTAGTTAGTGGTTAGTGGAGTGGTTAGCCAGCTGTCCAACGGTGTAAGGACAGCTGTAAGTTAAGTTAGTTAGGAGTAGTATATAACCGTATATATCTCTCATTTGTACAGTATCTGAAAATGAATGGGACAGTACGATTTCCATTTCTCTCTTAGCTTATTCTGAGAAATTCTCTGCAGTTATGGAGGTTCTCTCCATTTAACAAAACAGAAACACGTTTTGTATCTCAGTAAAATATTAGGGGTTTAATTTACTTACATCTTTTTGAACCATGTTTGAAACCCGCATTGGGGATTTCTTATTGAATCCACTCAGGTTTGCCGACATACGTATATAAAAACATTACACTTTTACTTACCAATCGTCAATTTTAAAATGATTTATACCTTTTCTTCAAAAGTTAATTAGGCTTTAACTATACAAAAAGATGGAATTAGTGGGGGACAGACCATTAATTCATTATTTCAACCTTATAACATAAAGTATAAAAAATTGAGCTCTCCACGCATTAGGAGGATTTGAGAATGCATCTCTAGATCTCAATCTCTCAATGTTTTAATCTTACTTTATAAAAGTCGAGACCCCGTTTAATTAAAAACATGTCTCTTTACTTGTTACATATGAAATCAAAATCAGACGAGTCATGTGTTACATGGTAATATGGTATGTATTAAAAATATTATATTACTAAGATTAAATCAAGAATGTTCGAATTAGCAGCAGCCTTTATGGTAAAATAATAATTTTATTTAGGAGTTCATCATCAAGTGTTCTATTCCCTAGACCCTGATTTTGCATACAGCACGTAACACAAACATATGTAGCAAGTGAAGAAGAACGTATAAAACTTGGGTTCAATCAAAGGAACAAGCATAAGGCCATGAGATACGTAGTGGCTCATGAATTTGGGAACAACATCCATAAAACCTCAGGAGTCGCTTGATTCAAAATCAGGATATCCTAGAATTATTATTCTAGAATTAACAAGGATTATAACTTGGACATGATTAGTCATAAGCCTAACAAAGCTAATTCATCAGAAGCAAATTGATCTTCTCAATAGCTGCAACTCTATTATTGATGTAAATTGTTGGCTTTAATGGTCCCTCCATTTCTAGACTGATTTTTGTTGATTTGTGGCTCATTTTTAAAGGAAATGAACGAATCAAACACTCCAAAAAAATAAAGCACGAGTTGTAAGTCTTAGTGCTCCTAAGGATTGGGTGATGACATAATAAAAGAGAGTCTTGGGACCCTTAAACTTTAAGGATATCGTCATAGCACCCTTACTCCTCTTAGTGCTTTTTTGCACTTTAATTAAATACTTGTCCTAATACAGTAGGAAAAGAAAAAATGATCTTTAACATTGTTGCACTTACTTTCTCACCCCTTGCCTGTATAAATATGTCAACCAAACTCTCCTAATTTCACAGCCTAAGTAGAAAACCTTATTGTCTTTTGCAACTCTAGCATTTTGGGTGAGAGGCAGAGTGCTAGAGATTTGCAATTCTTTGGCTATAAAATACAAAAAAGAGATGGCTGTTATTTCTGGTCACTGGGCTTTTACATTTGGTGTCCTTGGTAAATACAAACCAGTTTTCTCCTAATTCTTGCTCCTTAATTGTAAAATTTTGACTGAATTTCTTAAATATCAACTTTAATCCAAAAATATGTTCTATGTGTTGAGGTTAAACACATCGTCTCTTTTCCTTTTCTTATGTAATTTGCAGGTAACATCGTCTCGTTCATTGTGTTCCTTTCTCCACTGTGAGTCTGATCCATTTTCTTGTATTTATTGGAATTTTCAGTTTATTTGGTTTTTTAATCTAACTACCACTTATATTTTCACACTTGTAGGCCCACGTTTTATAGAATCTACAAGAAGAAATCAACCGAAGGCTATCAATCGATTCCATATGTGGTTGCTCTCTTCAGTTCCATGCTTTGGATATACTATGCATTTCTCAAGACCAACACTACACTCCTCATCACTATAAACTCCTTTGGTGTCTTCATTGAAACTATCTACGTTGGTTTCTACCTTTTTTACGCACCAAAAAAGGCCAAGGTAAGGTTTAACATGATATCACGTTAACTACCTTTTTTTTTCACCGAGAATTTCCTTTTTCCTTTGTTTCCTTTCCTATAGCAAGAAATTGTAACTTTGATTTTCAAAAAATTTCTTAATGCAGGTTCAAACTGTGAAGATGCTCCTATTATCTGTGGTGGGCGGCTTTGGTGCTATAGTTCTGGTTACTCAATTTCTATTCAAAGGAGCAGTTCGAGGGCAAGTGGTTGGATGGATTTGCCTTGTATTTTCCTTGTGTGTGTTTGTAGCACCCTTAGGCATTGTGGTGAGCTTTTACATACAAATATTTCAAACATGGACGTCTTCTCTATTTCTTTTTTCATTCGTGAAGATAATATATTGCTCATGATGTTTCTAATTTTATGCAGAGAAAAGTTATAAGAACAAAGAGTGTGGAATACATGCCATTACTCCTATCAGTGTTTCTCACGTTAAGTGCAGTGATGTGGTTCTTGTATGGTCTTCTACTAAAAGACATTAACATTGCTGTAAGTTCTATTTTCAATTTCTCAAACCACTTTTCTACATTTACGCTATGTTTACATACGTAGACTATTTATCTTGGATCTTATATATGTAGTTTCCTTCTTATGTTTTATAGGCTCCAAACGTATTGGGATTCTTCCTTGGTATTGTCCAAATAGTGTTATATGTAGTATACAACAAAAAAGAGAAGGCAAACCTAAAAGAGCAGAAACTTCCAGAGATACAAAAGCCAGCAGTCATAGTGGTGGATGAGAAGATGAATAACACGAAGTTCCCAGAACTAACACAGGAACAGATTATTGATATAGTGAAGCTTGCCGGTTTACTGGTTTGCTCAGATAAAGTACACGTAGCCTCGTGTCCACATGATACTAATTGTGGGGTTAAAGTAGAAAACATACCCAAGCTGCAAACTGTGGAAGAATAGGGCAGTTGATTAATGTCAGGCTTGGAATTGGCATTGATCTCAGTGCAATATTCGCGCAGATTGTTGCCATTAATTCCTTAGGTTGGTTTTTCCTAATACTGATGTGTTTGTACACAAGTTATCTCTATGTAGGCTCATATTCTGTGTAAGCTTTCTTCTTGGGATGTCCTAGTAAAGAATAAATATTCAGTATTTAGTTTTCCTTTCTGTCCACAATAAGTAATATTTTTACCGTTGTCTCATCCCTTAATAAAATACTAACATCTAGAAAAGAAATAAGTATTTTGAATAAATTACCCATAATTAAAATTTTCATATTATTAACTTGACACATTAAGATATATAAATAAGGACAAATTTAAAGGATTTATTTTATCCAAAATAAAAAGGCCAAAAGATCACTTATTATGGATCGGAGGAGTATTGTTTATACACACTTACATTTGTGACGCATTAGAGTTTGTTTACGGTGTAAAATCCAATATCATGATTGATTGCACATGTGTAGTGATGTAAACTAAGAGTCCACCAAACTATATAGAGAACATGTTTCTCTATCAGTTCCCACATAACGCAACGATATTTACGTGGAAAACCAAGACCTACACTCGTAGAATTTCAACTTCACTAACTGAGCAACTTTAGATTACAACCTATATATTGTAACCTAGGAATTAAACTCTTCATCCCTCACCTATTTGTAATAACAATATTGCAAGCCCTCTTTGTAATAACCCTATTACAAAGTTAACCACTTGACTAACTCTAGTCAACACAACCACACTATTTATGGTTTACAAAGTGTCCTACGAGATGCTTCTAATTAAGCTGAGTAGGAGTTACAAGTGAATAACATGAACAAGGACATAATAATACTAAGGACACACGATGTAATTAATCTTGGGATCTGGTCCTTCGTTATGTTGTTGTTTTGTTCTTCAATGCCTTTGGAAGAATGAAGGCGGCTACACACTTGAGAGTAAAAGATACTTAGGTTTTGCAAGTGTGTGTATTCCTCTACCTCATGTTGGTAATATCTAAGTGAGGACATCAAAGATGATGCAAGGGGGTATCCAGTATACAACATGCTTCAACAGCGCTGATGTATTGTTGCATGTGCAGTGCAACAACTTTAACAGTTGTTAGAGTTGACTTGTCCTGTGGCCGCAGGAACTGATCTCTATATGTTCCCTCTGTTGTTCCCTTGTCTGATTTCATTGAGATTTGTGCCAGACCTTGACTTGTGCTTTGATCGTGGAGGAACTAAATGTATCAGGTTCCCTATCTGGTTCTCATATATATGAAGTTTATTAGATCATCAAAACAAAGGACACATTACTTATCAATTTCCCCCCTTTTTATGATGACAAACTTAGATTGATATTCCCCCTGAGAACCAGATCTCTACATTGTTCCCCTGCAGAATAGTCATATTCCCATTGAGAACTTGTTTCTCCCTTTCAATTTTCTTCTCCTTTTTGGCATCATAAAAAATCCGACAAGAAAAGGAAAAAGGCAGTCCAGCAAAGTTAACTCACGCCACTTGTGTGCACACAACATAGCTAAAAATAGAACACAAGAGTATAACATGCATTTAAAAGGACGAAGATGCTCATTAATTGAAGGAAAAAAGAACTATTGTAGTAGTACCATCATTACAAGAACATACACAAATTAAACATAACTAGAGTACCACAACCATAGTGGACGGATAACAAAAAAAGGACACTATATGATATGGCAGGGAATGATAAAGGGACACTGACAAAGGGACAAATTAGGGTGCACTGGATGAGGAAGGGAAGGATGAGGGAGCAAGAGCCTTGAAGAGACCGTCTACACAAGCATTAGCAGCTCTCTGATCGTTAATCAGCTGCTCTTTCAGATTCTCCGCATGTTTCCTCAACTCTATATTCTTAGCCTTCAAGCGGGCAACTTCTGCTCCCTGATCATTACTGGAACCAGGTTCTGTGCTGGCTTAATTGAGCTTACTCTCAAGAATAGCATTATGGGCCTTCAACCGCCTGATTTCCTCATTAGCACTATTCTGAGCATCGATAAGTTGAAAGATTTTAGAACTGCTACCTATAAACCCCCCCCCCCCC